TATAGTCTGGATTAGTTGTAACATACCCCGGGGTGAGATGTGACACAATGAAACAAGGGTACTGACAAAATCTTAACATGTAATCTTTTTTTATTCAACACCTGAATGCACTTATAAACATTTATGTAGCAGGTCTGTGGGTTTTCATCACAGCCTGATGAGGGAGCAGCTTGGAGGTCAGTTAGAAGACTGGAGATGTGAGCATCTGGAGGAGTGGTCATGTCGTCAGCTGTAGGACTGGTGAGATGAGCAGCAAGAAGAGCGGACTGTTGGTCAGCTGGAGAAATGTCCATATGGACTGTTGGAGAACGACAATCTGTGACCTGTGATGGAGCAAAGTCACTTTCCTCAAATATGTTTGGATTGTATGGCCAAATTCCACAGCACTGGAATTCAGCCTGTATATTCTTTGGCGTAGCTGCTGCTGGAAGTTCCATCCTGACGAGACCTGGTATTTCATATATTGTCATGGTCTTTCCTGGATTCATTCTCATCCAGGAATCACTTGCACTGTTTACCATCTTTTTCAGTGGGCCATAAACACTCCTGTTGAGTGGTTGGAGTTTGTGACGGCAGTGAGGGGGAAATGTGAGCATCACAATTCCATTGCTCTTGCAGAAGTCAATGGCTGCAACTGACAGGTGTGAACTGTGGTTATCCATGAGAGGAATCACTTTTTTTCATGGCTGACCTTGGTGTGGTTTGCAAAGTGCTTCAGAAAGATGAGGAACTCTTCTTCTTGCATCCATCCTGATTGATTTCCACTGCCAATACTTGCTACTGGCCCATCTCTGACAAAGTGGTCTGCATAACGTATGTGTGGGAAACATTGGAGGAATTGTGTTGCCAGTGGCATTGACTGCACATACAAGGGTGACCAGTGAACCTCTCTCTGTTGATGTCATTGCCCCAACTTGTTTAGTGCCAGGTTTTGCAATCACTCTGTCCGGGGTTAATATTCCATATGTCATTTGCAGTTAAGTTGTGTCTCTTTAGCAATTCATCAAATTTTTTGAAAAGCATTGCTACATTGTGTTTATTAAAACTGGTGGCCCGTGCCAGACTTGTAGCCTCTGCACTTCTAATGGACAAAGTTGGGTTTAGTTTCATGTAGGCTGAGAATTAAGCTTTATCATCACTTTACAGTTTCTCGTCCAAGTTGCTTAGATTTCTTTTTCCTTCTGTAATATGCGAGCTTGTCTGGCGATGTCTGCATTCTTTTTTGTAAGATGTTCATTCAAGTATACTCCGCTTCCTCTCAGCTGTCTGGACTGCCTCAGTAAGTCAGTTTTGTGTTTTCGATTTACAAATCTCATTACTATCGCTGGAGATACTTTAGCATTCTTTCTGGGAAGGGTATAGCATGCTGCAATGTTGTTACTGTGCAGGGGCAAAAAACTCCACAACTTGCCGCTCCAGTGTTTGCAGCTCCTCTACCGGGGGCTCATCACCACCAGTTTTTACACCGGTCCCAGTCTCAATGACTCTCGCGTAACTCCTATGTTTGGTTTCCAGACCAGTAATTATCACATCCTAAAGTCGTGTCTGGTGTTCCAACTCGTCCACTTTCCTTTCTAAGAGTTGGATTTTCTTGTCTTTCTGTGTAATCAAGTTTTTTAGTAGCTGTAGCTGTAGCTGCGCCCGCCATCTATGCCCAGCCGATGTTCTTTCCAAAATACTGAGAGGCACCCCTCGGTCAGTCTTTCTTTTCCATGACCTAGGCATACTGTAATTCAAAGAAAACAAAAAAAATATTAGTTAAATTAATAGTGGGGTAAGTTGTAACATTTGCATGGTTGTCACAACTAACCCAGACTGTTGTTGTTACAACTGACCCAGACTC